CAACCATATCAAAACAAAAACAATACGAAGTAGACACTTTTATTATTTATTATCTCCTTTAATTAAGAGAATATCTTTTTTTTAATTATATATAAAAGGTCATTCTCTTTTTTATTAATCACTACGAAATTTTGATATTCTCGACTCTAAATTCTGAATTAGAAATCCTAATATATATAAGTATAATGGACCAAACTCAATGTATGAGATACTAATGAAAATCTACATTTAGAAAGATTAACTTCAAGTTTTTCAAAGTTAGTTTGCATTATTCCAAACACATTTATTTTATATATATATATATATATATATATAACATTCAAATTTGAATTTACCACTTCTTTGAACTAACCATTTGTTAAAAAAAACAGTTATTTTGTTTTTATTTTTTATTTTATCGCTAGGAGAAAAGAAACAATCAGTAGTTATTGAAATTTTGTATAACTGTAAATTTATTTTTAATGTTACAAGGTTAGGAAATTGTTATGCATGGAAATAAAATTAATGAAGTTTTATAGATTTTAAAACATTATTGAGAAAATGTCAATATTTTTACGTGAAATGAGGCGTTATGGATTATCGTCATTATTAACTTGAAACTATCATTATTTTAACACACGTAAAACTTATATTTAATTATATTGGTATTATTAAATGACTTTAAGCCACCTTGATTTTATTAAAATATCAATATTATAAAGTACCATTGCATGTATAAGTTGTTAGTCATATCATTAAAATATAATAGTAATTGGTGGATACTACGATGGAATAATTTTTTCATTTTAAGATGAATATATAGAATAAGAAAAGCCGTACGAATANCATTAGTCTGGGCTACACCAAGTTCAGATTGGGAGGAACATCTTTGTAGCACGGGCTAGAGAGACTTCTATACATATCAAACCTGCATTATCCTAGTTTTTTCCTACCTGATTTAGCAGCCATGGTTTGTGGGTTATTGAAGTCTAGAAGCATTTTTACTGGACACCACAACTGTCGAACAAATAGGCGTTTTTTTCTCGGATCTCCTCTCCATGATAGATGCAGTGTACGAGAAGACTTGGGATTTTCAAACATTATAGGATTCTTAAACGAAAATTCAAGCAGATCTTCATAATTATTCTTATATCAGACCCCTTGCAGGTAATGAAAATGATGCTACATTACTCGAGTGAATGCGTTTTTTTTTCTTGGACCTGTATCAGTAGGGAACAATTGCTACTAACCATGATGTCAATATTCAATTAATACCATCATATGGGTTTTTATCATCCCATTGGGAATGAAAGTGATAGCAACCCAATTTAGGATAAGGTGACTAACATTATTATTGGTTGAAAACGTAAGAAGTATTATAACCGTCGTAATCCGAGAGCATAAAGAAAATATTCTATGATCTTTTCTCTCACCGTAACTACCGTTTCCCTTCTTACTATTTCTCACCTAAGGTAGTTTGGGGTAAAATACCAATTAGAAAGAATGATCTTTCCCCCTTCTCTGCACTAATTCCAGAAAGAAGAATGTGGAAACTGTTTTGCTGGAGTCTGCTAGTGGTATCCATTTACTTGTTTTTGTTGATAATAATGTCAATAACATTGGGCACACAACTTTTTAAATAAACAATAGAAGGAAGTTATCTACTAAGTGGAAACAAACAGTAATCTAAGGAACATATTTAAGTGTTGACCATAGCAAGCTCACTTTATCTGCCGTTTAGGATTGTGTCTTTTTATCAACATGGATGCATCTGTATGTTTTATTTCCCACCAAAACATTAGTTTCATCGAAAGTATTATTTAGGATGCAAATTGGTTATGTTTGGTTGTATTAGATAAAAGTTGACTCAAAAGCTAAATATTTAGTTGATATCGGACAATTATTAACTTACAGAAACTTTGTATATTTGTGTATTGAAAGATACTTGTAAACATTAGATTCTTTGGTGGAACTTTTTGCATTGAAGAATTAGACCTAATCCATGTTAGGTGTGAATTAATATAAAATTTAAAGTATTTCTTGTCTTTCTCTATCACTCACGCAAATTTCTTAGTCATTCGTAAAATGTTTTAGAAAACTATTTATGAGAATTTTTTTATAAAACCACGAGGTGAGACTCATTAAGAATCTGATTGGACAATCTACAAAAATCTCTAAAACAACACTTTTAGCATTATTCAAAACCCTTCTTTCTAGACCTAACCTTATATTTCAATTTGTATTAGAACTTACCTCTTGGAGTAGGTTCTTTGTAGGATAAAAGGCAATTATCCAAGATTTCATATTGGTGGAAATTATTCTGAAATGATTTGTTCTCCATAATTCATGACTTCTGAATAAACACTTTTCCTCTTGAGTACATCAAACACACTACCTTCACAGCCTCGACCACGATCACTTACCCAAGAAATAACAAAAAATATGAACCTTCAATTTAGTGTGAAAACAAGTAAAAATGTTTGATATCATGAATTCCACAAACAAAAATACTCACAACAAACCACAAACACATGAAAAGAAACATCACAATTGATTCTCATGGAAGATCGAATCGATTCTATATGAATATGTGAAGGGTGAATCAATTATGTGTTTATGATGGAAGAGGTGAATCAATTCAGTTAAGGTATTTGCAATTTTTTTATGTGAGATAATTGATTATCCCATCCTTAAAATCCATTCTCAACTTTCATCTTTTATCACTTTTCTCCTTTGAAACCTCCTTCAAGCCAAAACGAGCCACATCCCTCTATCACTTACCTCACCTATAGCATATTCACCAATTTGGGTTCATAAATAAGTTAAAATTAGATGGGCAAATAAGTAACTTTATTTGCATGATGTGATTTTTCCTTCTCTTCTTCTCACTTTTGTGGGTGACCTTTAAGAGGCGTTACATGCAAATTAATGCTTGCAAATCCTTGGAAATCTCCAAACAACAATGACACTCTTTCTTCTGTTTGCTTGAACAATACTTCTCCCAATCCAAATACAACGAAAAATTATCTTCTTTAAGTTAATGCATCAATATCTAGTTTATTTAGTAATCAATTTCCTTTGACATTGTTTCTCTCCAATATTTTTCTTGTCATAACTTCTTCAAACAAAATTGGATCATTTTCAATCATCATCATTGTTGCATTAAGTTCTTTTCTTCATATACTTTTTCCTAATTTCATAATTTGTCATCAATCTTCGCTTGTTTTTTCTGCTCGTGTCTATTCCTTAATCAAAATATTTATTGGTTTCTTTTGAGATAATTATTTAGATGATACTCTCAAATTGTTTGAACTGCCATTCACCCATTTCCCTGTTCATTGGTTGTTCATTCTTCTTATCATTGTTGTCTTTATCTTCTCACTTTAACATATCTTGTATTGTTTCTTCCACACATATTCATCATATCGTAATATAATTAAATTTTTTATGACAGTTCACACATTAAGAAAACTAACTTAAAGGAAACGTTATTAGTTATTTTTATATACGTGACCATTATTTATGCATATATTACAATATGGGTGAGAAAGATGTGACAGAACCTTTGAAAAAGAAGAAGAATAAAAGAAAAAGAAGTCACAAAAAAGGGAGATGTGGAACGAATTAAATTTTTTGAAATGTATGATTTAGAAATTTTAAACTGGATTGTCAGAATAATTTCAAACTTGTGAAAATTTGAAATTTATAAAAATTTAGAAATGAGTTTGCATTTTTTATTTATTTATTATGATATTCAATCTTTAATAACCAGGAATGAAGATTTAATTTTTATGTATTATATGAGGTGCTGTATATTTAAACATTGATGTTTATACTTTCTATAATTCCTCTCTCTGGATTCTTTGAAAGATGCAAAATTAGATTAATAATAACTGGATTAATACTAATAATTTTTTCAACAATTTTACAAGTAAACCTTTAAAAGTTTCTTTCTGTAATTTGTAGCAATTAATTCAAGTACTAAAAATAGAACATAGCTAGAATGGGAATGAAGATGACAACCTTTGGAGCTACTTTTTTTAGGAGTTATGCATTTCTTGAAAGATGACTTGCTGGTTAAACCAAGGTTACAAAAATAATATAATAGAAGAACCTTTCAACATCAAACATGTGAAAATTTCTTACAAACCATCATCAATAAAAGAAAGTTCTTGGTACTGTAAACTTTTCAAATATTTTTTGCTATTTTCGTATTCTGTTTATATAATAAAATACAAGCAATTAATGCATAACCATTAAACTTAAAAATATGCTGAGTTATAAATGTAATTTAAATACATTATTGCTTCCAGATAAGGCTAAAAACATGTTAACTTTAATTTAATTTACCTTTTAATATGTAAGAAATTTTATAATCTGACTCAATTTATCATGATAAATTAAGTTGATTCAAGTTAAATATTCTTTTTATATAATATGAACGGGGAAATTTTCTACAATAAACAAGTTTTTAGAGAAAATTGGATTAAAAAATTTGTGTAAAAAAACATGACATTGTGGCCAATATATAATTGAATTTTAGGAAATTTTGTTCTTTGTTATAATCCTAAATTCTTTAAGTTAAAAAAAAAAAATCCCTTATTGGTATTGAGTTCAGCCCCTATAGAATGATGTTCAAGGGAAAAAAAATTATAGAAAGATTGGTTGTTAAAATAGTAGGTTGACTTCAAGATGGGTGAGAAAGAGTAAAAACACTTTCTTTCAGGTAAGCATTGCCATTTTCACATTATAGAAATTATAGTAATCTCCTATTTATAAACTAAGCTTCACAATTATTTATAAAAGATGAGAAAGAGAATAATTTTTTCAATAATTAAATAATCAATGTGAAATTGTAATTATAACTCTTAATTTAAAGATTAAATTATTAAAGTGTTATGATTAAAAAATTAAAAATAATAAACAAGTAAATTTATTTGTATGGATTTTTAAAATATTTGAAAAATAGAATTCTAAATAATAGAGAATAGAGTTAAGAAATTACTGTTGCAAAGGTTTGTTCTGTGTATACTTTTTCTGATTTGGGTTTATTGCGAAGAGAGAAAACCCTAATCAGAACGATATATGGAAATGCGGATATAGAAAACATTAATCAAACAAAAACAGCGTTCTTGAGGAAATTATTCCGTTTCCGTGGTCTGTCGTCGTTACCGTGGTGGTTCGGTGGTGGCCGTGCTCGGTTGTTGGGGTCGGTGGGCATTAGTTCTTTTCTCGTGTGCGAAACATTGGCCGAGTGCTATGATATTAGCTGTTTGAGCTTAAGGTATGCAATATTTTATTTCTAAAATATTTTAAGTGGGTTAATTTTTTGTCTGGTGTATTGAGTTTTAAGGGTTTTTTTGTGGGATTTCACCGGAGGGTTTATTAGGGTTTAGATTATCCCGTAATTAGTGTTTCAGGATTTTTTTTCTTCTGATAGGAACCATGGAAATTGTGGTTTTGTACCTTTTTTTCATGTTCTTCATTGACTTGGGTTTAAAGATGGATTATTTGGTTGAGCTGGGATAGCAAGAGAGAGGAGGGTTGAGCTGGATAGCAGGAAAGAAAGGGTTTGAGTCTGGACACCTCACGGAACAGATTTTTGTTTTCTGCTTTGTTATGTTAATACCAATTGATTGGTTGTTGATCTTATGACAGCGAAGACGTTAACTGATTGAAAAATGCTTTCAAGTAATTTCCTGGTTTGGTGTATTTGTATTCTTACAAGTCATCTGAAATGTGGGATGGGGGGGCAAGAATGATATCGAAATAAATATGCAGAAACTGATCCTACAGATTAGGATAAGTCCAATACTCCACTAAAATGCCTAAAAGTTCACTTTTAAGGAATGGTGGGATAAATCAAGAAGCACGGTTTCCAAATTGGATCTACCCAACACATTAATAGAGAGAGAGCGAGCCAGTTGTTTTAGACCATTCTAACATAAATGTTAAAGTCGTCGAGTGTAGTTTAGACCTTAGAAGGAAGTTTAGAATTACAGATTGCCTTCACTTCTTTGAACCTTATATTCTTTTAACCGGGAAGTTGTTTTTCTTTACACATGATTGCAGCCAATTTGGGCCAAATTAGTTATTTGGTTAATCAGATCTGTAATCAATAATGTGTTTGCAACATATTGCAGATTGAATAATGTACATGAAAGAACTAAGCAAGGCTATATGTAAATTTTTCTTGTATATTTTTCTTATTATATTAAGTTTTCATGTCAACGAATAAAAATCTGTAAAAAAATAGTAAACCTTTTACAATCTATTTTGTGCATTATAGCAAGTAGTAGAAGTAGAAAAATGATTAATCCTGACAGACTATGCCAGTTATTATTTACATTTTGGCCAAATTGTTTCACAGATAAGTGAAAAAGATTCATTGATAGAAAAGCAAAGTTTCAAGATTACAAAATTTAAGATAACCTTCCTTTGCTCCAATGCAAAATATACTTTAAAGCTTCAAATTAACAAGCATCTTAATGGTACAAAAGGATTTCACCATACAGTCAATATAAGTCACATGAGGTCGTTTTGAATTTTATATAGTCGTCCATATATTAATAAGACTTTTCTATAAGACAAATTTGTTGGCATCTTTCATTTGAAATATCTTGCCGGGTAGGGGTTAAACTAGGGCGTTTGTCCTTAACTTTGGAACAGTTTTTGATTGTTAACATATAAAAGCTTTGACAAAAAGGAAACAAAAGTTTTGTTGCAGTGGTGCATTTTTGCAGTCCTTGATGGAACTAATATGGATATGTATTATATTTCGTGACTTTACATGTGCTGTAGAAATATTGAGTGTGCTTGTGTTGTGTGAGTTCAGCTGTAGCCTAATCAGTTCTTAAGCATTATGCAATAATTTGAATAGTCCAAACAATTAGAGACCATTACTGCAATTAAAGATCTACCAAAAGTTGTTATACAGATATTCTATGTGAGATGTTTATATAATATCTTACAGAAAAGTGTACGTTGAACTGAAATTGAGTATTGTCTAAAGCCACATCATTAAGTCTCCAAAAGACAAATGCTTAGAATAAGAGAAAAAGGAAGAAGCTTACAGTCAAATGGAAAAATGGATAGAACAAACATTCGAGGTCCTTGAGACTAACATGTCAAATGAAAAGCATCTTCTACTTCGTTAAATTTTTATTCTGAAGTCGCGCGAAACCGACCATATTAGTCGTTGGTTATGTGGGTTAAGAGAGACATAAACACAACGTTGTTTGAAGTTTAATTTTATTAAATTCTAAAAAACATCTATCACCTGCCTCTTTACTTTCTGGGTATCTAAACAAGATTACCTGCCGACATTTTTATGCCCACATGTATGCGGATATTTCTCACTTTTATTTTTTTAATTTTAAATAAAACATTTAAAAATGATTCGTAAAAGATAAACTCATAAAATATTTTTTAAAGTATAATCTAAATAAAAATTCATAATAAAATATGTGTAAATAAATTTGGTCCTGCTGAAAAAAAAATAAATAAGTTATATTGAAAAGTATCAGTTCTAAAGAAAACTAACCTTTTTTAAAACAACTTTAACATAAGTCTAAGTAGAAAATATAAATGTGATATGAATCAAATTCTAAAACATTCTTCAATGGTTGATATTTCTCTCACCAATAGCTTTATCATCATTTGGATTTGAAAACATATCCAAATAAAATTCACTAACAATGGGTAGTAGGTAGTAGGTATCCATAAGTTAGATACTATGATACTATGAACCGTCCCATTAATAAGTGGGTAATTAAATTATCCATACCTGTTACTTGTTAGTATCCCTTAAATAAATCAATTTAATATCCTTTACAATTTTTTTTGCCATCCCTAAAAATAACTATTACGAACAAAATATGGCCAAAAATTCCTTAAAGTAAATTATTAAAATTTGCGAGGAAGAATATTTTGTTGGCTCAGAAACAGAGGATAGGGTGTCAGAATTTGAAAAGAAACTAGCAGAAGTAGATATTAGCTTTGTGCAATCACATATCAACGAGTATATAACTTAGAAGTAATCCATCAAATTACATAATAAACTTTTAATTTTAGTGACTGGTTATGATATGATTTCACATTGGGGTTTGATTCTCTATCCATGTTTCATAACATATATTGAATGAAAGTTGTTGATTAAGGTACTTGTAGACAGATGTGTGTTCTGAGTTTTGAGTTTAGGGTTTGCAGTTTTTGTCATAAAAATGGATTGTGGAGGGCTGGAGAAGGGGATTGAAGAGTTGAACGTGAAGGAAGGAAAGGGTAATCTACGTGTTCAGGAACAGGCACAGGGTCAATTGCAGATCACTACCTTTTCTGAACTTGTCATATGATGTTGACCTCCATTTTCAGATCATTCGCTTCCCAAACAGGTTTTCCCTCATCAAACTCTTCTTGTTTCAATAGATTCAAATGAAAGGCAAAATAAGGTGTATGTTTTTTTTTTTTTTTAACGGGTCATTCACCCAAATGTATACTTTTGGAACAAAATAGCAATAACTCTGTTTTCACTTGCATACGATTTGGAAGCTGGGATTTTAATAGGATAATTTGTGCTGTAAACGTTCAACCTGTGATATTTTTCATCTCTTCCAAAGGTTTATCTGATTTGAATGGTTAATTAATTATCGTAGATATATGTGTGGATTGGTTACAACTCTGCAAAATTGGGACACATGTACGCAGCAGCTCCCACTCGTCCTGTAAGTTGTCTCATTCCTTTAAGCTCAGTATAAGAGTATTTTTTGAAAGATTGTATAAGGTTGTGATCTATGGTGGTACACAGAGCAATTCAGTATCTGTCACTTCCATACTCGGAGGATTTTGTGATAACACAGGGTCTGGCATTGCTCATCGATTAGGTAACTATTGTGTGTTGATTTTTCTTTTTAACAACACTCAAACTCACATTCCAGAAATTAAACATGATTGGGATTCACGTTCAATGGAGTTGGAATGGTTTTGCAAACACACTGTGTCTTGTCTGACAGTTAAAATATTATTCTAGTTTATGAATTAACTTTATCTGTTTCTCAGTGTTAAAGACTGGTCTCAACATAATTTTGGCTTGCAGCATTCCAAAAAATAGCCCCATGCTTGAGGTATGGTCTCTCTCCTACTCATTGTGTTTGTGTTTTAGCGCAGCGATATTCTGCTCCTTCTAAATGACTTTCTTACTGCTATACGTTCAGCCAACTTCTGAAAACAAGAAAGTGATGCCCTCTCAAAACATATCTAAGAATTTATATTGTTGTTCTAACTTTCTACTTGGATATAAATAATCATTTTACAATTCTTGCATATTCAGTTACTCGATTAACTTACTAATACATAGAAATTTGAACACTCATAGGTTCCTAGCTTCATTTAGTTCACCAGAGGGAACTGGGAAGCCGTAGTGAGTCAGTCACCTACTTATCTGGATCAACTCTTTATTTTGGGGAGTTACTAACTTGTAAAATAACAAATAAGAGGGAAAGTTTGTTAGAGGAGAGAGAAAGCTAAACCTCTTATATTGGATAGTTCAGAGGAGAAGAGCGGCAAGGACAAATCCACTTGGTGAATATTGGGGGCAATTGCCCCAACAAACATTTAATTTTTTTCTTAATATAATGTATATATGGCATTACAAATTGTCCCCATAATTTAAAATTTGTTATGAAAACTACGGTAAAAATTCTGGATTTGTCACTGAGGGTATGTGTGTTTGTACTACCAGTTAGGGTTATTGCTTGGGGCCATAGGAATTTTACCTTTGCTGGGAGTGTAACACTGTAAAGCACTATTTTGCCTAGCATGTGCCGTTACCTAGTATTAGGCTTTGGCCTTACCTATATGATTCTGTTGAAATAAAATACCTGTAGTTTATGATTGATTTATAAATTTTCCAGTTCTTGTGATTTTTTTAAATTGTAACTTTGATTGAATGGTGTGAAGTTGATCTTACACTCCCCGAAATCCTACAGTAGTGACGGCTTACCCTTTTTGCATCGCCATTCACTATTTTCATCACTTCAATTTAAAATTCTCTATTATTGATTTATTGCAACTTTCATGGATTGCAGATAGAAGCTGAGAAAATATTGATTCAGAAACTCATTAGTCTGGGCTACACCAAGTTCAGATTGGGAGGAACATCTTTGTAGCACGGGCTAGAGAGACTTCTATACATATCAAACCTGCATTATCCTAGTTTTTTCCTACCTGATTTAGCAGCCATGGTTTGTGGGTTATTGAAGTCTAGAAGCATTTTTACTGGACACCACAACTGTCGAACAAATAGGCGTTTTTTTCTCGGATCTCCTCTCCATGATAGATGCAGTGTACGAGAAGACTTGGGATTTTCAAACATTATAGGATTCTTAAACGAAAATTCAAGCAGATCTTCATAATTATTCTTATATCAGACCCCTTGCAGGTAATGAAAATGATGCTACATTACTCGAGTGAATGCGTTTTTTTTTCTTGGACCTGTATCAGTAGGGAACAATTGCTACTCACCATGATGTCAATATTCAATTAATACCATCATATGGGTTTTTATCATCCCATTGGGAATGAAAGTGATAGCAACCCAATTTAGGATAAGGTGACTAACATTATTATTGGTTGAAAACGTAAGAAGTATTATAACCGTCGTAATCCGAGAGCATAAAGAAAATATTCTATGATCTTTTCTCTCACCGTAACTACCGTTTCCCTTCTTCCTATTTCTCACCTAAGGTAGTTTGGGGTAAAATACCAATTAGAAAGTATGGTCTTTCCCCCTTCTCTGCACTAATTCCAGACAGAAGAATGTGGAAACTGTTTTGCTGGAGTCTGCTAGTGGTATCCATTTACTTGTTTTTGTTGATAATAATGTCAATAACATTGGGCACACAACTTTTTAAATAAACAATAGAAGGAAGTTATCTACTAAGTGGAAACAAACAGTAATCTAAGGAACATATTTAAGTGTTGACCATAGCAAGCTCACTTTATCTGCCGTTTAGGATGTGTCTTTTTATCAACATGGATGCATCTGTATGTTATTTCCCACAATATTTCCCATCCGAAAGTATTATTGATGCAAATTGGTTTTGTGTATTTCATAAAGTTTTTTCTCTTTTTTTTTTTGATTTATGACTCAAAAGCTAAATATTTAGTTGATATCGGACAATTATTAACTTACAGAAACTTTGTATATTTGTGTATTGAAAGATACTTGTAAACATTAGATTCTTTGGTGGAACTTTTTGCATTGAAGAATTAGACCTAATCCATGTTAGGTGTGAATTAATATAAAATTTAAAGTATTTCTTGTCTTTCTCTATCACTCACGCAAATTTCTTAGTCATTCGTAAAATGTTTTAGAAAACTATTTATGAGAATTTTTTTATAAAACCACGAGGTGAGACTCATTAAGAATCTGATTGGACAATCTACAAAATCTCTAAAACAACACTTTTGAGCATTATTCAAAACCCTTCTTTCTAGACCTAACCTTATATTTCAATTTGTATTAGAACTTACCTCTTGGAGTAGGTTCTTTGTAGGATAAAAGGCAATTATCCAAGATTTCATATTGGTGGAAATTATTCTGAAATGATTTGTTCTCCCATAATTCATGACTGGGTTCTTTTTAATCACAATTTTTGAGTGGATTTATTTGCAAGCTCTTAAGTAGATCCTCAAATACTTGAAGGAAATAAGAACAGTTCTAGCTTGTAGGTTTGCTAGATGTAAGGCTAAAATTTGAAGGGAAATAGAGGTGATTGTGCAAGAATTTGCGATAGAAATCCCCCCCCCCCCCCCCCCCACACACCATTGCCCTCCGTCTCCACCTCCTCCATGCCCACCGCCTTCACCTCCCCCCTCGATGAGTCCACCCCCCCCATGATCACGAGCCACTTACCACCCCCGTCATGTCGCCTCATCGTTGATACTTCATTATAGCACCCCTTTGCAACGTCGGAACCCCCCCCACGGCCCTGGCCTTGACACTCAACCCATATATTTGACTCGTGACCGGGTGGTCTACTTTGGACAACTTCTTGTAACGACCCACAACGACGCCATGCACGCCACAGCGCCGACCATCCTATTCACCCCCAATATAAGTCTCAAGTTGTCGGTGATGGTATTATGCAAAAGCAAATACGGGCCTCACAACCCTACAACCATGTTGCACTGACTTCTTCGAAGCACTCACTCGCCCAATGGGTATCCAACACCACAATATAGTAGCTCTCACCCCCTCCCCACAAACTAGTTTACTATTAACGCAGTCGCACCTAGTTTTGACTCTCATTTTACTCTTCCCTTTACGTAATGCGACGCGTCTCTTTTTTGTCTCTTATTTTCCTAATCTACACATTTTCAGGTTCCCTTACGCTTCTTGCATTCTTCTCCTCGACCGAATCAACTATTGATAATTTTCTCGCATCGTACCCCACTCCTGCCTCCAGCCACACCTTCCCCCTACACTATATATAACGCCCTATACATGGCACCAAACCTCAACCTGTACTTGACCCCCCCCCCTACCCCCCCCCCCTCGGCCCCCTACCACAGACCATTTTGCGAAGACCTATCCGAACACATTTAAAGATTAACTGCACGTTTTTCAAAGTTAGTTTGCATTATTCCAAACACATTTTTTTATATATANAAATGATTTGTTCTCCATAATTCATGGATGGGTTCTGTTTCGGATGTGAAGGGTTGTGTTCGTCTAACGTTTCCACGTCTTCACCTGCTCGCGCTCCGTACGTCGGATTCTCCGTATTCGCTAATGTTTCAGATGTGAAGGGCTTGTGTTCGTCCAACGTCTTCACGTCTTCACCTGCTCGCGCTCCGTACGTCGGATTCTTCGTATTCGCCTCTCAATTTTCTCTTCAGTCCGCGGGTGGGAGACCTGCGAAAGATTCTCCGATGCCAAAGTCAGTTGAGGGCTATGGATTTTTCTTAGACATAATAAATGTGCAGTAAATGCAACCTATCTACCACTCACCCTGGATCTGTATTTATAGTTTTCGCTATGGCTTGGGATTAGTGAAAAGTTAATCACGGCCCAAATCAGCCCAATAGCTTTTAAACCCCCATTACCTTAAGCTAAGTTGATTAGTAACGCGGGCGGCCGTCCTCGCGGGAATTATCCTCATGACCGGCCGCCCTTGATGGGTCCCCGGCCCGGCCGGCCGACTTCGGACAAGTTGTTGTTTTTCCCAAGTGTCAAGCGATAAGGTTGCATGATCATGGGCATACAGGCGTTCGGCCTACCATGCCCAACCCTTCTCAACAGTAAGCAGAAGGGTAGTCTCCTGGGTCCCATCAGGTGACGTGGGCGTCCGGTCCGTTTGATGGTCCAATGACGTGGGTGTCCGTCCCGTACGGCGCTCAGTCCCTGCTGGTACAGTTCTTTTTAATCACAATTTTTGAGTGGATTTATTTGCAAGCTCTTAGATCCTCAAATACTTGAAGGAAATAAGAAGAGTTCTAGCTTGTAGCTAGATGTAAGGCTAAAATTTGAAGGAAATAGAGGTGATTGTGCAAGAATTTGCGATAGAAATCATAATATTGTCTCCCTCTTCATGAGCCTTACTCCCTTCAAACATAAGAGATTAACAAGTAATGTCAAAATCGTTATAATAAAATAGCATTTGACAAGTGGAACCATGACATGGCATTACATAAACTATATTTGATTGTGAGTTGTCACTTTTGGAAATTTTGTAAAGAAAAAGAAGATGAAAGTGAGATCTATTAAAAATATAAGTCACGTGGGTGATATTATGCAAAAGAATAAGGGCCTCAAAAACCTAAACCATGTGCACTGAGGCTTTATTCGAAAGGAATCAAAAGCCCAATGGGTATCAACAAAAATAGTCACTCTCAACCATATCAAAACAAAAACAATACGAAGTAGACACTTTTATTATTTATTATCTCCTTTAATTAAGAGAATATCTTTTTTTTAATTATATATAAAAGGTCATTCTCTTTTTTATTAATCACTACGAAATTTTGATATTCTCGACTCTAAATTCTGAATTAGAAATCCTAATATATATAAGTATAATGGACCAAACTCAATGTATGAGATACTAATGAAAATCTACATTTAGAAAGATTAACTTCAAGTTTTTCAAAGTTAGTTTGCATTATTCCAAACACATTTTATATATATAATATTATATATATATATATATATATATATATATAACATTCAAATTTGAATTTACCACTTCTTTGAACTAACCATTTGTTAAAAAAAACAGTTATTTGTTTTTATTTTTTATTTTATCGCTAGGAGAAAAGAAACAATCAGTAGTTATTGAAATTTTGTATAACTGTAAATTTATTTTTAATGTTACAAGGTTAGGAAATTGTTATGCATGGAAATAAAATCTGAGTTTTCCGCTTTCCCCCCCCCCTCTGCGCCCTGTCCCTCTGTTGCCCGTTGCCCTGGCGCGGCCGTCTGGCTTCTCCGTCCTTATTCCCTTGCCCCCCTCTGCCCCCTTCTTTCCCCGCGGTAGAGCACCTCTATATATATATATATATATATATATATAACATTCAAATTTGAATTTACCACTTCTTTGAACTAACCATTTGTTAAAAAAAACAGTTATTTTGTTTTTATTTTTTATTTTATCGCTAGGAGAAAAGAAACAATCAGTAGTTATTGAAATTTTGTATAACTGTAAATTTATTTTTAATGTTACAAGGTTAGGAAATTGTTATGCATGGAAATAAAATTAATGAAGTTTTATAGATTTTAAAACATTATTGAGAAAATGTCAATATTTTTACGTGAAATGAGGCGTTATGGATTATCGTCATTATTAACTTGAAACTATCATTATTTTAACACACGTAAAACTTATATTTAATTATATTGGTATTATTAAATGACTTTAAGCCACCTTGATTTTATTAAAATATCAATATTATAAAGTACCATTGCATGTATAAGTTGTTAGTCATATCATTAAAATATAATAGTAATTGGTGGATACTACGATGGAATAATTTTTTCATTTTAAGATGAATATATAGAATAAGAAAAGCCGTACGAATAGATTTTGGCCTATAATATAACACCATTATTGTGTTGGCTACCAAACAAAGAAGGCCCTTCGATATTAGCCAATAACGCAACTTTCATTACTCATTCTTTCCACACAAACAAACATGTTTCAATCAATCTTATGTGTCCACATTCACATCAATCAAATAATTGCTTAATCGTTTTATATCGACAACATTTTTATAAATTAAACTTATCATATACATAATTAGAAAATAAATGGGAAATTAACTTATGCATAAATTAAAAATTACAAAAAATGATTTTTTTCCTATTTCATAAATTGTGTAGGAAGAAGGTTATTCAAACAAGATTTAGGTTTGACTAGAGGGGCTTTTTCACATACATTTTACTGAAAATAAAAAATATCAAACGAGTTTTTCTATTTATAAAACTTAACATTATCTTATACAAAAAATAATTTGTATAATTTCTTTAAATTTTAGCTTTTAAAGTTAATTTCT